GAAATTTGTAGTGTCGTTACATAAGTGTAACAAAAAAACAGTTGCCTCTGGGCAGTGGAAGTGCAGACACCTGTACAAACGAAGTGTACATATGTGTCTTTCGTAAGGTTTTGTCATTGACTGTGTACACATCTGTGCTTCACTCAGAAGCTGAGCTGCAGACGTAAAGACTCTCTTTACGTTGCATTTGTTCAGCTGCACTTTCCAAGTGAGGTGTGCTGCTGAGGTGTGGCTATGTTTGTTTGGGGTGTAGAACTTAACCACTGTAATCAGTAGGATACACGATGTTGTATTTTTGGCTGATATCTGATACCAAAACAGATTTTTTTTTCCCCTAGACCTACTTACAGAGACTACATAGCTTTCTCTGCTGCTTAAAATACTACATTATTCTGCATGTTCTTTGTCAATTTGGCATTCTACCAAATGCAGATGCCAAAAAGGGGGCTGAAAATGATGTAACACTTCAACTTAGATTATGTTTAATGTCAAGTTTATTAATGACATTTACTCTCTCTAACACAATGACAACACATGAACAGTGCAAAATTTGTAAATTTTCACAAATCTAAAAACCTGTTCACAAGCGACACGTGAAAAGCGCATAAGTAGTAGTGCATTAATAGATATACTTTGTTTCTTAAATTAAAAATGAACTTTAAACAGAAGCCTTTTATATCTGTGAGTTATTTTGATGGAATGGCCGATGTCCAATATTTAATTTTATCACTAATATCAGACGATACCGATACCATGCCGATAATATCGCGCATCCCTAGTAAACAACAAAGTTTCATTCCACAAATTTATTGATTTGTTCACCATCTGAAGATGTCTTTTTTCTAATGCCCTCCAGCTTTAACAATGTCGGCCCATATTTTCTCATTAAGCCAAAGAAGAAGAAAGAAGTTTTAAATGACAAGTTTACAGTCACCTAAAACTATGGCTTATTTTTATTTGAAAGGCTGACACAATAAAAATGTGGGCATGGTGGCGCAGAGGTTAGATGATGGGCTTGTGATCGGAAAGTCGCAGGTTCACCTCCCGGTACCGTCAACATTAAAATGTGGGTGGAAAAGGTGAAACACCCACACCTCCCTCCACCCTCCTTCGCCCCACCCTGGGCCCCTGAGCAAGGCCCTTAACCCCCACCATCAGCTCCCTAAACAGGTCTCTCTTGAAAATGAGTTCTCATGGCTCAATGAGACTACCTGGATAAATAAAGGGTAAATGAAAAAAAAAAAGTAAGCACTTTGGACTTTACTGGAAAGAACATTTAACAAATTACAGCTATTTATGGTTGTGTAGAACCCAAAATTTCAGCCATTTTAAATGAAAAATTGTCTTTTGATTGAAAATAATCTGTTGAGATTGAGACAAAAAAGCTTTTAGTGCAACTGAAACAGGCAGCGCATAAAACAAATTCACAAAGCATGCAGCCAAAGAAATAATTTGATATATTCTATGAAATTGAAACTGTTCCAAGTAAATTTTGCTAAATAAAAAGGTCAAAACAACCACACAAGACAACAATAATAGATGATTTATATATTTTTTTATGTTTAAGAAAAATCTCCCACAGCATCCAAATGAAAGAACTCCTTAGAAGCTACTTTAAGATAAAAAGTGACACTTCACAGCAAATGCAGACCATATTTTTGATGCATCTTAAGTTTCAGATATAGACAAACTAGATCAATCTTTGTCTAAAACAATTTAAAAACCTGAACCTTTTTTATTATGTTAACATTATTTATGATGCTTGAATTTTTTTGAATAAAACTCAGATCAACCTGAACCAGAATTAATAGGAAAACAAAAGATCAGTGATTTATTCAAACTCATAAGCACACATCAGCCGGTGATTCGACTTCAGGTCGACAAGTTTGATTCAGGGCGTTCACACCTGGCAACTCAGACCCCAAAACCACTTTGAGGTCAGATGTCACTCACTGTGTGAAAATGCATGTAAAGCCACATCACAGAGTGAGCAACAAACTGGACATCTGTAGGTCTGTAGATGTTTCTGTAGAAGTTACAATACGTTCAGACATCTGAACAACACTGAACAAAAATATAAACACGACACTTTGAGAAGATCTGTGTGTATTTTTGTGATTCTTGTGTCATCTGTCCTGCTCTACTCAGTGTTTCTCCTTCATGTAATCAGCTCCTGCCTCTGCCACCTGTTGTCCATCCCCAGGTGTTCGTGTTTATCTCGTCGTTAGTCCCTATATATATTCTGCGTTGCCTTGTTGTTCCTCTGTCGGTGGATTATTCCTTGTGGCGTCATGTTCTGTTCCCCGTCTGTGTCTTCTGAGCTAAGAAGTGTAAGTTTTGCTGCCATGTTTGTTTTTGTTATAATTATTTATGTATACTTCGAGCTTCCCGAGTTCTGTCTGCGCTTTGGGTCCGACAAAGTCCAACAGATCACGATATACTTTTGTTTTTGTTCCCATTTTTCATGAGCAGAACTCAAAGATCTAAGACTATTTCAGTGCACAAAAAAGGCCTTTTCTCAAAAACATTGATCACACATTTGTGTAAATCTGTGTTACTGAGTACTTCTCCTTTGCTGAGATAATCCATCCAACTCTCACAGGTGTGGCATATCATAAGGCTGATTGGACAGCATGAGTATTGCACAGGTGTGTGTTAGGCTGCCTACAATAATCTCAGCCTTCTTCTCCATCCCAGAACTCATTAGACTGTAAACCCATAAAATTAATGAAAAGGTGCAAAGAGTAAAAAAGAATTCCATCCATCCATTATCTTTACCTGCTTTTTCCTTTTTGGGTTGCAGGGGGTTACTGGTGCCCATATCCAGCAATCACTGTGTGAGAGGCTGGGTACACCCTGAACAGGTCTCTAGTCCATCACAGGGACAGAGACAAACAAGACATACAACCATTCACTCTCTTACACACACCCAGGGACAATTTAGAGATGCCATTCAGCCTAAGGGAGGTTGGCTTGAAACACAGCAGTGAAGGCTACTTATGGGGCAGATCTGGATGGCAGGCCGCAGACTGACGAAGTCCTCTAGATGGGGGATGAAACGTTTATCACTTAAAGAAACTGGTCCAGATGACACGATTGAATCTTTTTGTTGTTATCTACCTGGATGATTGAGCTTACAAACCTTTTACAATCTGTCTAACATGCATGTTTTTGGTCTGTGGGAGGAAACCGGAGTACCCCGAGAAAACCCACGCATGCACATAGAGAACATGCAAACTCCATGCAGAAAGGTCCCGGGCCAGGACTTGAACTAGCAACCTTCTCACAGAGAGGCAACAGCTCTACCAACTGTGCCACCGTGCCATGTAAAAAATGATTGTAGAATAAATGTAAGAGAACACCCACAATGAAGCTAGGAACCCACACCACCACAACACTATTGTTTCTGTGCAGCTTGGCTTAATTGGCACCAGGGGAAGCAATAAAAAGAGGTGGACAGAGGAGCAACAGGAAACACAGAACATTACAATCAAAGCATGTGCATGCAGCTGAAGATAGAGCTGTTATCTGGCCTGCTTAATGATAGCCTGGGTTCCTCTCTCTGTATAAAGGCAGCTCCATCCTGTTGATGCTCCCAGTAAACACCTTTGCCCTTCAATGGTTCTGTCCACCCCTACTTACTGGTTTCTTGTTCCAGCTGCCAACATCACATAATAGGACTTCTGGGGCATAGAGGGGATTGAGCCACATCTAATTGTCATAATAGACATTTTATCCACAACCAGTTTGGACTGAGCTATGATAAGGGAGCTGAGAAGAGCAGGATGTGCATCCCGCAGTGGGTAGTTGCGTATTCAAATGCTGTGCTCTGATTCATTCCTTGTTAACAATGTGTCTTGTCAGCAGAGGAGCAAGGGACATGAGCAATAGATAAACTTCCTGTCTGCAAGCGTGCCCTCCAAACATTCCTACTATTCCACCTCACAGTGGAATCTAAAGAATCCCTGAACAATTTAAAAAATTTTAAACCAGAGATAAAGCATTATAGATAGAAAATACATGTCAGAATGCTTTCCTAAGACCTAAAATGTCATTGCAATGGATATATTAGTTAATTATTTTAGGTGTACAGTTCATTTTGCCAACTTTATATTGCAAATACAGTAAAGGAAGACCAAATCATGGAGATACAATAAAACAGCCCATTACATGTTATGCTACTCTTGGATTAAGTCACTGCCATGTCACAATAAATGTGGACAGATGAAGGAAAAAGAAAACAGTAGTTAATATTGCAAGAATTAGTTTAAAAAAATACAGTCTGCACAATGTGTAGAATATATGCTGTTATTAATAAATATTAGTGAAATGCACAATTACAATAACATGGCCGCTTGTTTGGTCTAATTATATGATTGAATGCTACTGAGCATAATTTTCAACAAATTTACAGTCCCTTGGCTGGAGACACTGGTGTTTCAAACACTGCACATTCAATCAGCCATGTTGCACTCTGTTTTTGTTTTTGTTTACTTACAGCATGTTTTTATTTTTGCAACTATATTAAAGTGCATGTGATGTGCATATCCTACAAAAAAAGCATTGAAAGAAAATATCTTCATATTTAAGAGGTTTAGCACAATTCACATAATTTAACCCATTTGGTCACATAACTAGCATTTTTTTTTACTTGGAACAGCCAAAGTAAAACAGGAAGTGATATCAAAGAAGAAAGAGTAGCTCTTTAAAAAGGACCTCCCTGGTCTTTGTTCATTGAAACACTAAGATTTCAACTCTGACTCTTTGTCTCTCTCTGATAGTGACTCAAAATAATTTAAAAAAGCATCAGACTCTTTGCTACTCCCCTTTGTCATCACTTCCTGTTACTGCACCTGTGAAAATCTTAATAACTCAACAGTTAACAATAATGTTATTATCTTTTCAAAAATGCAATCAGTTTTTTTCTTTGTTTACAAAAAAATCACAAGCACTTTAAGACTCTCTTTGTAATTTAAAAATATTTCATGACATTTTCCTACCTTCAGACCATTCTGCACCAGCTTGTGAAGGTCCAAGAAAGGCTCTTTGATTAGCTCAAGGTTATGGTTGAGGATCCTGATAATTCCTTCTCGCTCCAGAACAAAAAGGCGCTGAGAGCCGTCACCACAGTGAACCACAGCGACCGGCTGCCTCAGACCACTCAACACCTCCTGGGCACAGTAGCAGTTGTGTTTGTGTTTCCTGCGCAACAGGAAAAATACAGAAATGTCACAGAATGATGGAAGCATTTAATTATCTAATAAAACGGCATAAAAAGTAAGGGAGATGTTCACACTGTAGTATTTAAAATGAAGTTTGAACATGCAGGAAGACATCAGTTTAACGTTAATGTCTTATGACACATGGAATGGAAGTCAGAGGAGAAAAACACGATTAAAACATGGAATAAATAACATTTCTAGTTCAGTAGAAGCAAGCTTGATGCCCCAAAATTATGCCAAGAATCCTACTAAAAATTTGGTTCTGACACTAGTGTTTTATGTGAGTGTACATCTCAAAGAAAGGTGAGTTACTGACTCCGTCAGAAGTTATTTAGACAATTGTAAGTTTCTGTAACTCTGGACTACCGTATTTTTCGGACTATAAGGTGCAATATCAATCAACAGGTCTGTTTTCATACATAAGGTGCATTAGGCAAAACAAGTTATTTTTGACAGAGCGCCGTGTACCACATAAAATCGGTTAGAGGTCAGTAAGCACAACCAAAATTAATACATAAAGTGCACTGGATTATAAGGCTCTCTGTTGATTTTTGAGAAAATTAAAGGATTTCAAGTGCGCCTTATAGTCGGAAAAATACAGTATACTTCCTGACCTTCTTGCCTCAAGAAAGCCAGAGCTGAAATGTATTAAGTGGTAACTACAATGATGCAAGATAAGCATTTAATTATATTATCAAAACTGAACAAAGCAGTGTGAAGCAACAACAAAAAAGCAACTTAGTCCTCTGATGGATCAAAATGGTTAAAATCAAGCTACAAACCTACTGATATCTTCTATTTTCTTATCTTCCAAGTAGTTGGAATCTTGCCCAAGAAGGTGGGTTTGTGGAAAATCTGGAAAACATAAACTGGACCCTCTCCTCCCATAGTACTGGCAGAATTCATCGACATCAGCTTGGAACAGTTCTACCAAACACAACAGATAAAAGACACTTGTTGATAGAATAATTAAAATGTTGACTGTATTGCAATAGTTAAAAAGAACAACTGTGCTTCCTAAATCTTGATGATTCTGTGAAAAGTAAATGGTTCAGTATGTATGCTAATTGAGGTATACATTTAAGTGTCTATAGTGTTTGCGGGGGAACTACAAATGTGCACAAAAATAGTTGACTAGTTACATAAAGGCAGGGGAAAACAGAAGTAATATAATCGACGGATATGCTTGATGACCCAAATTAATCACAGTTATAAAAGGCTGAAGAAAGCAAGTGAAAGAAACATACTGAAAAACATATTATTCAGTGATTAGCAATGTAATATACACTTTTCAGAGAAAACAAACACCCCTTTCTTAGTTCAAATAAACTTTTTCTTTTTTTATTTGTCGCTTGTAAAGACGAGAGTAAAGTTTGATTAATGAGGTGCAACCATTATTATTATTATTATTTTCGGCTGCTCTCTTCTTCAGGGGTTGCCACAGTGAACTATTCGCACGAAGACTTGATGTCCTTCCTGACACAACCACAGACCACCGAGTTACCACAGCCACAATTTTTGTGGAGCAGAGAACTGCTATCTAGGGAGCAGATGGTGGGGGTTAAGGTCCTTGCTCAAGGGCCCAGAATGGGGAAAATGAGGGTGGAGGCAGGTGCAGCATCATTAATGGCATATATAAAAAGCAGGTTGTTATTATTCTTGCCTTAATGAATTTATGTGGAAAATATTTTAATCTTGTTCTTTAGGAAGTCTGTTCTGCATATAAATAAAGTTTTAAATAAATAAAACTAACATTGCAACTATGCTCATTCAGTTTCTTAGTATCTGTCACATGCACACACACAATCAGCCACTTCTTCTATCATTAAGCAGGTCTGTGCATTACTGAGCTGCATACTGGAGCAACTTGTGAAATAAAATAAATCCATTTGTTATATAGGACATAACATCCATAAGAACATTCAATGTGGTATACCTTAAATAACAAATCAAAGATAAGCTGTTCAAAGTGAAGAGCAAAGGTGATCGACATCATGGTGTTCACACGCAGCTTCACCTCCAGCCAGCAGCCATAACATTGTTCTCAAAAGTAAGTGAAATCTGCAGTGGGTCTCAGAGACACTATGCAAATTAAAAACAATCCTGACAATATTGTTTGCTCTAGTTGACTTCTCAGAGAACAGACGAGCGCAGCTATACCAGTGATAAAAACTCCAACAGGACTTTCCCAGTTCCTCCTTTCATCTCCTGCCACACACTGCAAGGGCTTAACGCATCAAATTCTGGAAGTGATAGGATATCCCCTCAAACATCTAAACACAACATGAACATCAAACACATGTAGAACCACACACACACATAGCTCAGGCTATACCGCCCACACTCTTATGCATGCAGTTATCTTAACCATGCTGGTTGGGAACCTTGGGCGCAGGATGAAGGAATGGGTGAAAGAAGATATGATGGGAGGACAGAGTAAGTGGGAGGTCCTGGGAAAACATAGGTGTCAAGGCGGTAAATATCTTTATAGAAACACAAGGGCCAACACAATGGCTATTCAAGGGCCAACAAGAACTTTTAATGGTTGTTGTAAAGGCTACTGTTTCAATTTATAACCTTTGGCTACTGATTTTGGTTTTAGCAAAAGTTGAATTGTACCTAAATTTACTGTTGCTAACTCTCAGTACAAAAATCAAAAGCTAAAATTTAAAAAGTAAAATTGTTAATCCAAAGAAATCCTAATAATGTCACCAAAAGTATGCTAAATGTTATGAATCAAATTAAAAAAAGATTAAAAAAAAAATATATATTAAAAAGAGCGAGACTGAAAAAGGGGTCTGTAAAGAAGAAAAACAAGAAATGGTGTCAGAACTCTGTCCATGTTCCTGGCTCTCCAGCACTAGTTGTACTTCCATCTGGTTATATTCCAAGCCAACTTGGGTGGCCCACCCAAAGTACTTGACATTTTGATGCACTTCAGCAGTTTTACATACACACAACCTTTGTAGAAAAATAAATGTGTCATTCGTCACCACATATGCTGATCTGTGGTGGGCTGAGCCGGGTGAGCGAGAAGGAGCACAGCAGTGGATAGAGGAAGAAGGAATTCTTCTCTGAATTCATCTCTGCAGCTTTTTGGTTTGTGTTACATCTGTCTGTCAGTGCATGCCAAAAATCTAACATCAGGCAAGTCTTCTTCACCTGCTTTCTCTATACTGTGAAACAGCAGTAACCAATGTCATCCTAAAGAAGCTGTCACACAGTCACAAATTCCATCAGTGTATGCCAACATTAAAATAAGGGAAACAGGGCAAACTGTAAGCATATGCTAGGTGTACGTTTTGAATAAGTTACCAGCATGCTGAAGTACGATGTGCCATAGGTTGTCATACGCCAAGGCTAGCCAAAAATTTTGTACATGCACTAAATTTTCTGCATATGCTAATGTGTTGCTGATAAGTTAAGACTACATTACAGGTAAGTTATGCATATGTTCACACTCAGTTCATGTAAGTTACTCATAAGATGACATATGTTGGAAACCAGCTGGGTAATTGTGTAACATATGTAACTTACTACTAACCTATGAGCAACTTGCTTCTAACATATCTGTAGCATACATCAAACATTTTCACATAGGCCTGTCACGATAAACAATAAATCAATTAATCACATGATGAAAGTCATCAACCTCATTTTCATTTATCTGCTTTATCGCTTCTTCGTGTTTCTCTCTTTCTACTGAAGACACTGGATGACAAAAGGCTCAACTCCGATGCTCTTCACTGACCCCTCCCTTTCTCTTTAAAATCCATTTTAACTGTCCAAAATCGCATTTTTGGATCGTTAAAAGTAGCTAAGTTAAGAAGCTAAGCTACAAGCTAAGCTAAGAGGCCGACCTCTTGGAAAAAACCTCTGTCTGGTCGAAACTCCAAAATTCAAGGTTGAAACCCGTGCCTTCGTGTAAAAAGTCGTTTTTCTCTGCAAAAAGCAGCTGAGAACTTGTTTACTGATTTTTAATTAAAAGCTTTATGTGAAAAATGCTATGCTAAAGAATTAAAACCACACTGAGCATCCGCCATTTTGAGAAGTGGAAAAAAATAAGGAGAGATGGCCCATGTCACGTCAAGGGGCCACCCTCCCATTTTTCGTAAAGAGACACGCTGCGCGCTCCCTCACTATCCATCCTTCGGTTCAAACAGTCTTATACTGCCATCTGGTGGTCAAAAAATTTACTACACTCAAAACAAATTAACATTTCTTCTTAAAATTGACAATAATTACTAATTGTCAAATTTCAAACAATATTATTGTTTATCGCAATAACTTCTGAGACAGTTAATCGCCCAGCAAAATCTGTTATCGTGACAGGCCTATTTCCACAATGTATATTGACATAGTCAACATATAGCTGACAACCCTAGAACTTACTGAACACTTACAGATAGCATATTTGCCATTGTTTTGGGGTTCTGCTGTATATAGGGTACACATGGTGAGTTCTTCCTGGACCCATGAGGTGCAGAGGTCATTAGTCATTTAGTTTCTTATCTTTACTGCTGAGGATTTATTATGTATTTTATGCTGTGTCCTTTTCTTGTTGTTTTCTTGTACAGCACTTTGGTTAGCCTTGTTGCTGTCTTTAAGTGCTTTAGAAATAAAGTCGCATGGTATGGTATAGTACGGAGAAGACAGAGATCAGAAGAAAACTTGAAAAGATGAGAACATACTGCCAAGGTGTTTTAACTTGATAGGATCAAGCACTCTGGAGTCACAACTACCTGTGATTGTGCATCCCTTCAAAAGAAATTCTTCTGAAAAGCTAATGATTTGAGGGACATAGTTTCTATGTAGCAAGCCATAGGTACAAGAAAAAAAGTAATGCATCAAAGAGTGTTTTCATGTTTGCTGTGTCAAAGTAGATTTACTCCCTTTATAATCATGTAAGCATATAACTTCAGTGGCAGAGCAGAAAATGCAGGTTTTTAGGTGACACTTTACTCCTGTGGATGACGAAGAGCACTGAAATCATGTTTAGGGTGCTTTTTCACTCAGTCTGGTGAAGACGATCATGGTCAAATTATTTTTACTTAAGTCTGATGAATTGGCTTTTGTCAGAACAAGAGAGAAAATTACTGTCACACCATCTTTTGCTAAATAAATTACTTTTATTCACATGTCAGGAAATGTTTTTTGATGTATTGCTTCTATCTTCACTATTAAATTACTAAATGTTGGCTTACTATTAAAAATTTGCAGATTTTACACAAACAACAACAGCTACAATACTATGTGCATCTGGTGACATGAAAACAAGTAAAATCGATTTATTTGGAGCAATTCAAATTCTAATTGTTTCTTCTGTCTGTAAAGACAGAATGAGGATTCATTGACATGCATCTCTAAAATTTGAAGCAGGGCAGTGATCAAACAGTGACAGGCTCAGCATGTGAGGTCAGATGAGTTAAGAGCTCAAAAAATAAATCTTCACAGACCAGACTACTGATGCACCCCTTCTTGCATAAGTCCAGATCTCTGCCAGGTCTACATGTGTGAGCAGAGACTTGCTAGTTAAAACCTATAATAATTTTGAACCATTTGCAGAAACACACACATTGATTTGAATGTGTCACACAAGTATCTTTTTATTGTGTTCTTATTCTTACTTTGTTTTTGTGTATGTGCTTGTTTGTATGTCCTTCAGGTAGCCACACAGGCAGTGGTTAAAGTTACATTCATTGACATTTTTATGGGTGTAATTACCTGGTATGTGTCCCCTGCAGGTGTAATAGAAATCGCGGCAGAAGTCCTGGCAGAGCCGTGGCAGGTCTGGCCCCCTGTGTGGCATCCTGTCCATGTCCAGTGAGTGGAACAGCACCTGGGCATTGGGGGAGCAACGAGCACACTTGATCCCCTCCAGGAGGTGTCCACATTCTGTGTTGTTAGTGGAAAAAATCTGGGGACCACACACACACAAAAGAGCCAAAACCTAATTAACATTGTGAGTTATTAACTTTCAGCTCATACTTCACATTGCAGAGTAACTAGGGAACAGTTTATGCACTGGGTGACAATATCACCAAAGATGGGAACTGAAAAGCTGAGATCTTTTGGGTTACAAATATATCAACAAATTCTGACCATTTGGAAACCAGTAGGATTTTTAAAGAATAAATCTATAAAACTTGTATGGTTTCTTTGTGAATTCCAAAAACTTAAATTGTATTTAGAAGAAAATATCATTTCTTTAGGTAACCACACACACATATGTCTGATGGAAGTCTTTTGGACAAAAGACGGAACATTTCAACAAAAAGAAACTGTCCAGAGGACCTGACTTAACTTTGTTGGATTTCTCTAAAATAGTTGTTGAATCAAGTGTTTACCACACTTACCTAGGTAAATGTAGAGGTTTAACAACCTGTTAAAATACACCAGAATGCAGGAAATAGCATCTACTTTATTCCAAATTTTCTGGGGGATGACCCAGACCATGCACCAGTGTGCCCCCCCCCCCCCCCCACATTACAAATGCTTCTGACACCCCAGGATCATCAACATAATGAAAAACAAATGTTTGAAAGTTTGTTGTTTCTTGGTCTGAAAAGTCAGACACCTGTGTACGACAAATTGTAACTTAGTTGTTAAATTAGCATTACTGCACTGACATTGTTGCACTTATTCGTAAAGCTAAGATTTTCCACTTCGTATGATTTGAAACCAATTAGCTATGCACTGAGGTTAGACTTATCCTTTTGTTTTGGAGAAATACACAAATCATTTAATTCTCGGCACCATAGTTCTTAATCAAACAACAAAAAAATAACTAGAAAGTTCCTGGAGAAACTTTGATGGGGCCTGCCACATTGTGTCCATTTAAATTTTTTGATTTGACAGTAATATGTGTTGGGATTCACTCGCTGCTACCAGTGCACAAAATTTCAGCTAATTTGGCAACAGATCAATGAGTTATAGTCATTTTCTCTTTCAAGCTATGGTGGCCATCTTGGATTTTTTATTTGGATTCAGTATGTGATGGGGAATGTTCTCAGCTATAACCACAGCAAATTTCAGCTCCGTGTGTATCAATAGCTGAGTTAAAGCCATTTAAATGTAGCTTTGGTGGCCATCTTGATTTTTTTTTTTTTTTTTTTGGGGGGGGGGTATTTTTTTGGGCATTGCTCTCAGCTTTCACCACACCAAATTTCAATTTAATACCTCAAAAAATGGCAGATTTATAGTATTCTTCCTTTTTAGCTCACGTGGCCAACTTGAATTTTTAATTTGCAATCAGAGTCTATTAAGGATCGCTCTCAGCTACCAATACACCAAATTTAATTTCAATAGCTCTAAAAACGTCTGAATTATATCCATTTGAAATTAGCTTTGGAGGCCATCTTGCATTTTTAGATTTGAATTCAGAATGTGTTGTGTATCACTGTCAGCTAGCACCACACCAAATTTCAACTCAATATCTTTTAAAATTTCAGAGTTATAGTATTTTCCTCTTTTAGCAAAGGCAGCCATCGTGGACTTTTGATTTTCTTTAGGAATGTATAACTCGCTCTCAGGTATGACCATACCAAATGTCAGCTCAATATTTCAAACAATACCTGAGTTATAGCCAATTTTGTCTTTTATGAAGTAGCTGCGGCAGCCATCTTGAAACAAAATGGCTCCAAAAGTTAATCAGTTGTAGAGATACATCCGTTGATTACTTTCTGTGAGTTTCAAAATGATCAAATAAGCTGTTCATGAGATGTGTTGCTAAAGACAGACCAAGTTTACACGGTGTTTCTAAATGTGTGTTTCTGAAGTCAGGTCAGATATGTGTGGATGGGTGGTTGGGGGTGGGGGGGGGGACAGTAACACAGATGTAACACAGATGCATAAGAGAAGAAGTGGCTAATGTGGCAAAATATTGATTCAAACAAACAGCTGCGGTGTAAAAACTATAAGGTCTATTGAAAAAATTCTTGAACTGTGAGACAAGAGATTGGTTCACACTCGTGTGGATTTTCACATTTTTACAGCACTACATGTCAAAGATAAGACGAGTTAAAAATACTCCTCACAATCATATCTGAACAAAAGAGTTGGCAAAATTATAATGAGGAAACAAACAAAGGAGATGAGATGATCACACGCTGCCTTCTGAGGCACCTCACAAGGAAACCATAACTTCTACAGCCAAACCAGAAGTACTGGTGGTAAAATGGACTGTAAATGGACTGTACTTATACAGCGCCTTTCTATCTTATTTCAAGATACTCAAGGCGCTTTACAACACAATCTGTGTCCTCATTTACCCATTCATACAGCACTCTACTAGATCTCTACAAAGCTAATTGAACAAATCATTCTAAAGAGACTAATCAGAGCTTTATCACATTCAGACACTGATGGGACACACATCAGAGGCGATGAGGGGTTCAGTGTCTTGCCCAGGGACACTTCAGCATGTGACTGCTGGTGGATTCGAACCCCCAACTCTCGCATTGGAGGACGACTGCTCTAACCACTCAGCCACAGCTGCCCCACTACACTACTGTAGAATCAGGCCGTCAGTTACAATTCCTACATCTAACACAACTTGGGGCAAGAAACAATGAAAAAAGGAAACGAAACAAGACCCCCAAATTCTATCACAGGGATTATTTTGTAAAAGTACAGAAAGAGTTCATCCAAAAGTAATTAGCAGGATTATTTTCATAACAAATTAGCTATATCAAAACACAATGTAATCGGTTTTAGGTCAAGCGCTGCGCTGCTTGGGCAGTCAGGCAGGCTGGTAATGTTCTACTCTGTGTGAGGTCCATGTGTAAACACTAATTTGGAGATAGACAGCCACATCACTCCAAGTCTGGTATCAACAAATTAGCAGTCTGTCGAAGTCAATTAAATTAGGGGACCCAAGGCTAACATATGGACACCTTACACTCTGGCTGCAGGACAAACTTCGATTGTAGAGAAAAAGAAAATGTTTTCAGTCTACAGGTTGTTTGGGATTGTGTAAGTGCGAATGGTGGTGGAACCACTGAGAGAAACCTGATGTTCTCTCCTGAGAGGCACACTGGCATGCACAGAATAAATCTCTCATCAAAGCAACCTTTACTTCATTGTCATTGCCATAATAACAACGGTTATGGATAGCAACGAAAATTTGATTTTGCTGATCACTGTAAACACAGATCTGCCTGAAAAGACTAATAAAAGAAAGTAACAGATAGCTTTAGTTCATCTATCATTAAGCATCAGCACATTCATATTTTTGTATTCCAATTTATTCACGTCAAGAGGACGCTCTGCACTGGCCGTGACCTTGTATGAGGGGTACGCTCCTCCGTCTCGGTGTCCTTTTCTCTCATGTCATATAGTGCATGGGGCAGGCCTGCTCTCCTGTTCTAATTTGCCCATTGGTTCTGTGTGCCATGGGTTGGCACAAGGTCTAGAGAAAAGCATTTGTGTGCTCTCAGCCATGCCCTGCATCCATATGTTGCTGGGATGGACTCCAATGTTGCCATCATCGAAACCAGAACAAGTGGGCCTTTGTTGTGTTTTTTGCTGAATCTGCATCATCCTTAAAAAGGAGAAAACACAGTTCAGGCTAAAAATTATTACGATCCTACATCAGGGCTTAAATTGTTGCAACAGATTTTATAAAACTGGTAGAGCAAATGCAATCCACATAAGAACTTATTAAAGACATTGCCTGCTGAGAGAAAAGAAAAGTACTTAAAAAGCTAGAAAAACATTTGTGAAATGTATTTTATTTCTGTAAATGTGTATAAATGTTTCTTTTGGTTTTTTAATGACATCTACAGGAACGTTTCTAGTAATGTTTATTTCTTTAGTTATGTTGTGCTGATTTTATGTAATTTTATGTCATATCTGGATGGAACAGGATTTGCCATTGGTTTATTATACATCCACAATGTAAAGAGTTGTAAAAATACATCCAGTTCAATTTCACAAAAATCTGTCCAGTGGTTTGTGAGATACATTACCTTACTAACAGACAAATTGAGTTAAATATACTTATTATAAAGTATGAGAAACTAAAAAATATATTATTCTGAGCGTTATCAAATGGAGCAGTTTGAAAGAGTTAATTCCAGTAGTTTTCCTGATATGCAATTCTATAATGTGGGTTCACACTCAGTGTAAACAAAGCACTTGACTGAATCTGTCAAAAACTAAGTGGATGCTTGCATTAGGCTGAGCGAAGTCTGTGCTGGTGAACAAATACAGTAGAATCAGACAACCGTTGGATCTTGGAGAAGACATTTATGTCAAATAAGTATGAATTTGCTGCTCAACACACACACACACACAAAAACAGTGGTTCCCAAC